TGGGGGGGGGGGGGGGTTGGAGGAAGAAAAGCTTTCAGGGGCATGGAAGGGAGGGGGCAGGAGCTCACCTAAAAGGAATCAGACTGACATGGGAGGTGACTAGAGAGGAGCCTAAGTCTCCAAGCTTCCCTTCCCTCCCTTTCTTCTCCCCTTAGCCCTTCTATGGGGGTTTCAGTGTGTGAAATGAAAAGGAGCCTCCTTCCCAGCTGTCTTCTGGGCCTCAGGGTCTATCACAGCCTTCTACCGCCTCAAGGAGTAGTGAGGACAGGTCACCTCGTTCTGTCAAACCAAGCGGTGCTGGGTCTCAAAGAGGCTGGGATGGAAGGGTTCACTCCTTCATAGAGGCAGGAGCCATTTATTCCTCAGGGCACATGGGTCTCTTGGGGGAGAATGGGATCCTTGGTTCATAGCCTGGCTGACAGCTTCTATCCCTGGACCCAATCCGTGGCACAGAGATGTCTCCTTGGTGTTCCCACCTTGGGTTTTTTTTTTGCATAGGAAGAGGCTCTCCAGAGTCTTCGAACTTGGAGCATTTCTAGGTAGGGACTGGAAGAAGAATGAGGTAGGACATTCAGAGCAGCAAGGAAAGCCTAGAGGGGAACTTCAGGAGAGAGGAAGGATGTGCCCAGGGAAAACTGCAGCAAAAGAAAGGGAGTAGACTCAGCTGTTTCATGGAGGGGCCTAGGTTGCTACCAATGTCAGGGTAGGACTAGATTGCACTGCTGGCCCCAAAGAAGGGGATGTACACACACCCAGAGAAGGTTCCCAAGCCCAGCAAGGGGGCCAGGCTGAGCAAGAGCCTCAGCCAAGACAGAAGGACGTCTTTCTGTTTAAAGACCTCTTTGGACTTTCAGTGAGTGAGAAGCTGGGCCCCCACAGGGTGGAGTAAAGGTGGAATAAAAGTGGTGACCCAGCTAGAGGCTGACTTACCAGACAGAGAAAGTTCTATGGTGCGGGAGCAACCATCGATGGGGGACGTTAGCCCAGCAGGAGAGCTGTGGTTCCATGCCTGGATGCAAAGCGGGCACCTAATGACGAGCAGATTTGTTTACGATTGGCATACTCAGAAAGATTGCTTTTTCTCCTCACCCCATCATCCAAAAGCGCTGATGGAAGCCTTCGTGGCTGAAGGAAGTGCTGTCCCCTCAAAGGGGTGTACTGAGGGGCCAAGCTGATCACTGAATTTCCCTCCTCAGTTCCAGGGGCTAGCTAAGAACGTCTATGGGTTTCTCCAGCAGCTCTGAGAAAACCTACAGAAGCAGGGGGAAGTGCAAGCAACAAGAGTGAAAGTAACTTAAATTTCATACAGGTACTGTCCCATTGCAAACCCCACAAAAACTCCCTGACCCTTCTCCCTCATGGGGGATTGTGATAGGACAGTGCCATAAGAAATTCCAGTGTGAGAGGCAGTTCAGGGGCTCAGGGCAGGGAGTTGGGGTGTGTGGGAGAGCTGGGTGTGTGCAGGAGTTAGGGAAGGAGGTTTGTGGTGGTGTAGGAGTCAGGAAGAGGCTCTCCAGAGTCTTCGAACTTGGAGCATTTCTAGGTAGGGACTGGAAGAAGAATGAGGTAGGACATTCAGAGCAGCAAGGAAAGCCTAGAGGGGAACTTCAGGAGAGAGGAAGGATGTGCCCAGGGAAAACTGCAGCAAAAGAAAGGGAGTAGACTCAGCTGTTTCATGGAGGGGCCTAGGTTGCTACCAATGTCAGGGTAGGACTAGATTGCACTGCTGGCCCCAAAGAAGGGGATGTACACACACCCAGAGAAGGTTCCCAAGCCCAGCAAGGGGGCCAGGCTGAGCAAGAGCCTCAGCCAAGACAGAAGGACGTCTTTCTGTTTAAAGACCTCTTTGGACTTTCAGTGAGTGAGAAGCTGGGCCCCCACAGGGTGGAGTAAAGGTGGAATAAAAGTGGTGACCCAGCTAGAGGCTGACTTACCAGACAGAGAAAGTTCTATGGTGCGGGAGCAACCATCGATGGGGGACGTTAGCCCAGCAGGAGAGCTGTGGTTCCATGCCTGGATGCAAAGCGGGCACCTAATGACGAGCAGATTTGTTTACGATTGGCATACTCAGAAAGATTGCTTTTTCTCCTCACCCCATCATCCAAAAGCGCTGATGGAAGCCTTCGTGGCTGAAGGAAGTGCTGTCCCCTCAAAGGGGTGTACTGAGGGGCCAAGCTGATCACTGAATTTCCCTCCTCAGTTCCAGGGGCTAGCTAAGAACGTCTATGGGTTTCTCCAGCAGCTCTGAGAAAACCTACAGAAGCAGGGGGAAGTGCAAGCAACAAGAGTGAAAGTAACTTAAATTTCATACAGGTACTGTCCCATTGCAAACCCCACAAAAACTCCCTGACCCTTCTCCCTCATGGGGGATTGTGATAGGACAGTGCCATAAGAAATTCCAGTGTGAGAGGCAGTTCAGGGGCTCAGGGCAGGGAGTTGGGGTGTGTGGGAGAGCTGGGTGTGTGCAGGAGTTAGGGAAGGAGGTTTGTGGTGGTGTAGGAGTCAGGCAGGGAGTTGGGAGCTGTGGGGGGCTTAGGGCAGGGGGTGGGGATGCAGGAGCCAAGATATGGGTGGAGGTTCAGGGCAAAAGGCAGGGAAATTGTGTGGCAGATGTTGACTCTTTAATGGTATATACTGGGTATGAATTTATTCCTTTGTAATTACCCATAATAAGCCATAATTTTGCTAGAAAAATCCTGTATGGGACAATCTGGACTTGCCCCTGGGAAGTGAAATGGATGATCCTACACGTGTTTTTTTTCTTCCTTCAGTAACTTATAACATTCATAGACAGACATAGGGATGTGACATCTTTTTATTCATTTTACATAACGCATACAAACTTTCTATTTACTCTTAAGCCTGTTTTCTGTGCACAATTTGACCAACAAGGAACATAGTTTAGTTATTAACTAAAAAACCCAGATATTTCCAGGAACACTGAGTATCAGCTGGGTTTTTCTGTGCCAGAAGCCCCATGCCATTATGCACCAGTGACCAAGAGGTAATTAGGAAGCAGCACATAGTCATGATGTCAGGGAGATGCAGTAAAGTCCATCTTCCTGGAGGAATTACAGTCTCTGTAGAACAGATGGTATCCTAATGTTTTCATCTCCACCACTGATTTATTTGAAGAAAAACAAAACAACAAAAAACAACCTCTTCACATCTGGATAGATCAATAACTCAGACAAGCACAAGACCCTTACTGGAAATATGAAGGTTAAAAGTAAGAAAAGGGAGAAACATCTGCTTCCTGTACGGCTCCTATCAAACACTTTTAGAAAGTTCTAAATAGTTTAATTGTGATTTGTGAAAAGGTGCCAAAAAATCAGAGGAGGAAGTGAGGAGAACTTTTGAAGGAAATCCCTTGCTCTTTTTCTTCCATCTATTTCTCCTCCCAAATGGTGTATCTTTTTAGACTCTCTTCCTTCCTCTCCTCATCATGATAAAATATTTAATTTTGCTCTTTGTTCTCTCCTGCACGTCCATTAGGTGGTGCTTGACATGATACTTCCCACCAGAGATGCAAAATTCATTCATCCTGGGTGAGCAGAAAGTAAAAGTAGCAATTATTAGTGTCAAATATTTGGGGTTCCCTGCTTCTTTGCCCTTTTCACAACAAAAAAGACCATATACATAGGATTCAAAAACAATACAAACATGTGAGTTGACAAATATTTGGGCTACTGGTTAGTTACTGAAATTCTCCAAGAGGTGGAGGCCAAAGACCTGAAGGGTATATATTCCTTTCTCCCAGCCATCTCTCCAATGAAGCTGTAAGTTGTTGCTGTAAATTCGAATAGCTGTCATGTTGTGTACACAGCTATCACTGAAGCTCAGAGGTTTACAGGAGGACACATTTTGTACATATAACAAGCTCTTCCAGAGATGCACTAGAAAGTATATAAAATTGAGAAGAGATACAAACCTTCATGTTTCAGGCCATAAACAAATCACTAACTTACAGCAGTTAAGACAAAACTGCCTTTATGGGCAGGTTATTCCATAATTGTCTGTTACAGGGTTTTATGAAACTTCCCCTGAAGCACCTTGTACTGGCCACAGAAAACCTGAGTAAGTGGACCACTGACCCAATGTCATATGAAAATTCCTCTGCTCCTATCTACTAAAGAGACCAAATGAAGCCTGTCATAGAAGCTATGTCTAGACTGTAGCACTTTTCCGGGATATCGGAGATATCCCGGAAAAGTAATGCCGCTTCCAAGGAACATGTCTGCTTTTTTGAAAACATTTTCGAAAAAGCGGATATGCTCTTTCACCATCCCTGTAAACCTCATTCTACGAGGAAGAAGGGATGTGTCAAAAGAGCATGTTTTCTGAAATTTGGCACCGTGTAGATGCACCAAATTTCGGAAAAGCCTCTTTCAACTTACCTTTGTAGTCTAGACGTAGCCAGAGATCGATCAAAGTCTTTAAAAGAAAATAACAGTTTCTTAAAGAGACAGGCTCCCCTATCACAAAGCCAGACCTACATTTCCTATAGGGTTCAACAAGAGGAACTTATTTATGTGTATGTATAATATCGGAAAACTACACACAAGGGTCAGTTCTGTGTTTCATGATGCCACCATGTAGTGCAAGCAGTTTGGGTCAGCTGAAATGGGAAGCAGAGGCCAGGTTTGGCTACTGGGAAAGCACACTGCAAATATTTAGGACAAATAATGTTTACATGTACTAAATGAGTCTTCATTTCTCTATAAGAAAGTGCAATGGCTAGTGAGATAGGCTTGTCCCAATTTAACAAAGGGACTAACAGCAATGATTTGAGCCAGGCACAGATGCTATCCAAGCTTTAGACAGACAGATGCTATGCAAATATCCCACACTCAGTCCTCCCATTAAGCCTCAGTTCTACTTAATTAAATTTAGTCTATGGCATTTCTATTGTGACAAACAGCATGATTTAGATGCCATTTTTGGATCCCTTGTTATTCCAGTCCTGGCCCCTGGTCAGCCATCAACAGTACTGTCTGTAAATCTCACTGCATTTGAGTTCTAGTACAATCCTCAGGTTCCATATAGCTTTGCCCATGTTTCTTAGTCATAAAATATCCCCTGACACAGCTAAGCACAGGCTGGTAATCATGACAATCTGTGGTGGGTTTGTTATGGGGAAAGGTGTCCACTGGGGCTAGGCTGATGACCAAACTCTCTGAAGTGTCCTAGTGAATAGTGCTGCTGTCTGCTGCAAGCAGAGCTGGGGTGTGGGAGGAGTTATTACTGAAAGTGAACTGAATTCGCTTATAGGCAGGGGTGAAAGTAATTTTAATTTCATAAGGTACTGCCCTATCATAACCCACCCCCAAGTAGTAAACACTGACAACTGAAGAGAATTTTTAACGTACAGTATTGTGAATGTAAAATAGATGTAATTAAAGCAATAACTCTGATTGTCTGATATATAAGCAGTTTCATTCTGATTGGAGATGTGTGGGTGTGGGAAGGATTAGGGCAGAGGACTGGGTGTGTGTGGGAGGCACTGGAGTCAGGGCAGAGTGTGTGTGTGTGTGTGTGTGTGTGTGTGTGTGTGTGTATATGCAAAGCAGGGGATGGGAGTATAGAGGCTCAGAACTGGGTGTGAGGGGCTTAAGGTAGAGGGGTGGGAGTATAGGAGACTCAGGGAAGGGGTTGGGGGCTCTGGGCAGAGGGTTGGGTGTGGAAGGGTGCTCAAGGCGGGGGGCGGGGAGAGTGTTAAGGGGAGGTGCGGGAAAGTGAGGGGGGGATCTGGGGCAATGTAACCTCACTTGACTACCAGGGAGCTGGGGGCTGTCGTGTGGGGGAACTGCTGCAGCAGGGAAATCAGCAGCAATGTGAGAGACTCCCTGGCTTCTTCCCAGGGCCCCCCGGCAGCAACGTATGCGAAGGATGGCACATATGCTGCCCAATGAATGGATTCACTACAGCATGCCCCCAGCCGGCCCCTTTAACCTTCCTGCAGCGCTGCCTCCCCTGGCTGTGTGTGTCTGCCAGCACCAACCTGCAGCAGCAGGAGCCGGGCTGGGAGAGCGCACTGCAAGCTGTGCCACAGCTGGCTGTTTACAGAGTGCGCCCCTAGTGGGCTCTTTGAGAGTGTGTGCCCCAGGCCGGCTCTTGCTGGAGCAGCGCATCAGGGCGCACCCCCTTACTTTCACCTCTGCTTACAGGTTTCCAAAAAGCTCCACTTGTTACAGTTTGAATAGCTCAGCACTGAGCAGGAGCACTGTAACCTAAGATCACAGTGGCCCTGGTATGCTCATGAGAATTCACAGTGTTCTGCTGCAGGGCTGTCCAGCCATCCTTTAGCTAGCTGGGAACAGAGAGTCTTGAGAAGGACCTTGACAAGGTACTGGTCAGCTGAGAGAGGAATGCTGAACTCTGTCTTCTCCCCAGCCTTCATGGAAAACAGGACTGGGCCCAGATACAGCAGTTAGTCCATCATCCATCCCTGTATCGTCATAGAGAGATCATGTTTTCTAGAGGCTTTTTTTTTTTTTTTTTAAAGTTTATGTTAGTAGCTCAGTGAGCTGGAAGGCCATGAACCCTCTTTGGGGAATAGATGCTAAAGAACACAAACAACATCTCCTGAATTGTAATAAAACACAGCATCATAAACAACTTGGATTCAATATTCTGACCTGCAGCTATGCAAGTTTTCAGGAGTGGGGCCAAGAGATCTCCCTCCCCACCCCTGCAGGCTGTATCTAAACCCTTCACACACTAGTTGGAGGATTAGGCAACGATCAGAAAGTCAAGACTATGCTATATCCTCTGTTGCAGCCGTGGGCCGAAAGGCAAAATACAGGATCAATAAGCAAACCACTGGCAAAAAAAATAAATAAATAAAAAACCTGATGTCAAAAGGAAAAGGAGAATGTTAAGGCCTGGAATGATGTGCAGCAGATTCAGGCAGGGAATGTGAGGGAAGAATGAAAAGGACAGAAGGTTTTCAATGGAACAAATTCAGAGAGAAGATAATGATACATTTTTCAGAAAGTTGGAACCATATTCCATAGCAGTGAGTGCAGGAACAGGCTTTGAATGGGTTCCACTTATCTGGCTTCCTGCTATATCTGAGCCTTGAAAGCTAGCAGACCATCCCTTGAAGCTTAGCTTCTTTAAACAGTGTCTGAAATAAATTACATTTGGTTTAATAAACCTGCCTTTGTGTCCTGCAGAGGTTTCCAACTGAGGTTTCATCCAAAGCGTAGGGAGTTGAAAAAGGTAGTTTACCTTAAGAAATGACATGTGGTGTTAAATATATGATGTGAGGGAAGCAAACATGTTACCTGTCAGACACTGAGCTGCAGAACAAGTTGTCCTGCCTTGAGAGCAAAGCTTTTCACGCTCTGCTGCAGGGGGGAGACCTATTTATGTGTTTGCAAAGGGTAAAAATCACAGTTTCAATCTCTCTTCAGTTTGCTTCTGAGCTGCTTGTCTATTTGCTTCTTCTGATCATAGTGGGAGCAAATCTAATTATTGTTACATTTACACCTTCTTCGAGGTCATTAATGAAAAATTCAGTGTGGTTACCTCTAGTGACCCCTGTGATATTTGCTCCACTTGGGACTTGAATCAAAGCCCACTGAAATCCATGACAATCTTTTTGCTGACGTTAGTGGACTTTGGTACTGTTTCACATTGAAACAGCTACAATTAATGTCTATATTGTTTCTCCTTCATTTCTAATTCATGGTGGGCTATCTTTATCTTGCTGGCAATTTTCCTGCTTCTTTGTTATCTATTTTCAAATATCCTCTGCAGCACATTCCCCATTATCTATTTCATCAGTAATTATGCTGAAGACCATTAGATTTATTTGGCTTGAGCTAGTGTTAATCAATCCATGTTGTTAATTGGTCATTAGACACCTCTCTCCTGAATCCTCACATATTGACTCATGTCAGCATATGCTCAAAATTTTGCTCTGGAACAGACACAGTTCACTAAGCTTTGCATGTGACAGGCTTTGCCTTCTAGTGAGACTGAGGCATAGGAGGGGGACTCTGGGGTTTGCTTGCCAATGACTAATTCAACAAATCACCTGCTTGCCTCAATGATTTATCATTGAGTAATGTCAAAAGTACAGAACTCAGAATTATATCTACTGAGCATGAAAAGGTCAGAATTACACAGAACTCCCTGAACGCCTCTCCCCACCACCACAGAACTGCAGTTCAAAAGCCTGATAATCACCATGATACAGAGCTGCTTGCTTTCTTGAACATCTATGCCCTACTGCAGTGAATCATCTCAAACAGGGGTGAGCAATAATTTTTGACGGGGGGCCACTCCAAGATTTTGGAAAGTGGTTGAGGACTGCACTCTTCCAGGATATTAATGGAGGAATTCCAGGGTCTGGGATGGAGGTTGGGTGCATAAGGGAGCTTGGGGTAAGGGATTGGGGTTTAGGAGGGAGAATGGAGTCTGGGAGGGAGTTCGTGTGAAGGAGGCAGTTGTGACCTCGGGTAGGCGATTGTGATTGTGATCTGGGCAGGAGATTGGGGTGCCAGATCTGAGGGGCTATGGGTAGAAGAGGGGACA